CTAGTTTTGTACGTAGAACAACTGGTTGCAGTAAATGTTTGTTACAGTTATATTATTTTATATTTTTAATCAATTAGCGGAAATTAAACAATCAACCGACTTTATCATAAGACATTCAAAAGTTATCTTTTTGTATACTTCTTTGTCTGAAAAACACTTTAATGGTAATGTTTATCGTACCTTTTTTAGCGCAATAGTCATAGGTCAAACGTTCGAATCCAAGCAATCGTGTTCTGCTTAAAAAAATGTATCAGGATCACCCTCATAAGAACAAATTAATATTGTAATTAAACACTATGAATGTTTATATAAAAGAAGCATAGACAAATTCAAATTAATTTATTTGCGTCCATTACTTCAAATTTAACCCTGGTGCCTATTATTAAATGGGCAATTTGTGTAGCAATGTTAGTGGAATTTCCGCAAGTTTTGGGGGAAATTTAAAAACAGTCACAATTTTATTTTTTGAAAATCTGAGAAAAAGCATGAATAAAACAAATTACGAAAAGTAAACGTACATAATAATTCGTTACTTTATACTGTATCGCTATCTACATTGTTTTTTTCTTTTCAGTACCTAAAAACTTCCTTGGTTTGTATTTTACAGTTAAACATTTACAAGTTATTTTTAGTTATAACTAGTTTCTTTAAGTAAATTTAAAAAGTTTTAGGAAATATTGTGTTAAAATTTGATTTTGGGAAAATAAAATTTGCGTATGGCAACATTGCCTTAAAAGCCGCAATACAGATTACAAAATGTCAGCGGAGTCGAACCACAGCTTGACAAACGACGTATAAGCGCGCGCGTTAAAATGTGTGGGAACGTATTGTGATAACCGTCTTTGTGATAAACGCGTGTGTAAATATTGTGAACTTACAAAACAATAAAAATATCGCAATTATGTGCAAGCCGCGGTAAATCTGTACGTGCTTTAAATAATAGTTTTCTATTCATATTGTGTTTTGGAGAAAAACAGTGACTAACAATTATTGTTTATAAATACAAACGGAATATTCGTGAAGAAATATCTTATGATATTTTAAAAATATATTTTATTTTTGTAATACTAAGCGTATTAAAAACAAATAAAAAATGGAGGTATCCACAGCAAAAGCATTATCAATGGTCGCTTTGGGAGTTGGCAGTTTTATCACCGGTATGACACCGGTTTGCTTCACAGAAGGAGCCAGACAGAGACATCCTCTTTTAATTTCTACACTCTTATGCTTCGGAGCTGGTGTACTTCTGTCAACTTCGTTAGTACACATGCTTCCCGAAGCGCGGGAAAAGTTGCCGAAGTACTCCGAACTTATGTTATGTATTGGGTTTTTCATCGTCTATTTCGTTGATGAAATGGTGCATTTGTTTTACGGTGGTATGGGACATAATCATCAAGGATCGAGTTATGGAAGTGGGGAAGCAACTAGTCTACTATCTCGTAATGATGGTGAGATGGATAGATGCTGCGGTGACAATGGAAACCAGAGAATCTGCCATGTAAATCACACGCCTCCATGCAATAGAAGTTCATCAGGAGTGATCGGTCTACTTTGTGCTTTGTTTGTGCACAGTCTGCTTGAAGGGTTAGCGATTGGATTGCAAGAGACTACCTCTCAGGTTAGCTTTTTTGTTACTGATTTGAACTCGTGATTCACGTTTCAATGCGGTTCTTCCCTGATCAAAAAGTTATACCTACATAATCATGTCGTTACGAGCTCACAATAACACCTGTAGTTCCCCTACTCTTGTAACAAAGACGTCTTTGTTTAATAGCGAAAAAAAGAACTAAATTGCGTGCCGGTAAATTATTTCGCGGTCACATCATTGTTATTTGAAAGGAATACTTTTGGTTTCGTTTTTAAACTGTGACGAAATTATGTCTTGTTAATTTCGGATTTATATGTTATAAGGCAGTGCTTGGCAATGGTCACAGAATAATGTGAAATGTTTTGTTGCGTCTATCAACAATATACAATTTTAACAGTGGTAGAGCCCGCTTTAACATCTTCGCACTGTAGGGCTGGCTCGCCCGGTGTAATACCACGACCATACAGAAAATAGGCGTGAAGTGAAAGCAATTCCGCGTTTCGTCTGATGAGTGTGGTGCCGGGAGCCTAATTTTAGTCCCTTTCTCTTTCCACCTTTTTCTTAGAGGAAAGGATAGGAAGGAAAAGTGAATTTGGCGG